CAATATTGCTGTTCCTCAGAAACGAACATAACAAGAAGGTTATACTCGTAATATTAAGACTTTATTCTCATTATATTATGACTTTATTCTCATTATATTATGACTTTATTCTCGTAATTAAAAAAAATCTTTTTGTGTGGCCCTAATACTCCATTGTAGCATTTAGATGCAATTTGACGTAACAAAATAGGACTTCTTGATGGTTCAGCTGGTCATGAGCTTTAAACTGTGATCCAATCCAGATTTTGTGGAAACATCTTTTTATTTTAGGTTCAAAGGGGATGAGGAGTAGTCTTAAAATTGAGATTTTTATTTTAAATATTAGAAATATAGGGTCATTTTTGCAAAAAGTGTTTGAACAAAAGAGATAATTGAGAAATAATAACAATAAAATGAAAAAAATACCATTAAAAAAGCTCCTAAAATCAAAAACTGTGAGGAAGAGGGAGGAAACATTCTGAATACAACCCACTCACTTTTACAACAGTGCAGTACTCGTCTCATAAACATATTTTTTGTATCTAATATAAGCTTGATCATGTTTAAATCATTTCTTCCATTTATTTTTTCGTTGTTACAGTTTGAGTATTTTTCGTCTCCAAGCATTGCTGCTGTTTAAAGTGCCTCTGACATCAATTTTTTGCAATAAATATGAATAAATTTTTGGAAAGATAACATTGATAACATGTTGCCAAAAAAATCACGCAGCTGAGATGAAAAGTTGTTGAGATATTTGCATATAAAGTAACTGGAAGTGATGTCAAAGGGGAATAATGGAGCACTGCTACAATGTCTGACAACGCAGACTGTAGAGAAGAATCTAATGGATTTTTAGGTTATTTTGAGACTCTATCAAAGAAATGAAGAATCAGAGTTCAAACCATATTGTTTCAATAAACAAAGACCAGAGAGTTCCCCTTTGATGTCATTTCCTGTTTCACTTCAGTTGAGCCAAATTAAAAGGAAAATATATAACAAAATGTGTAAATTTGTGTATATTTTGCCAATTTTTTTAAATATAGTGCTGTACCAAACGATTATTTTCTAATCGATTAATCTAACGATTATTTTTTCTATTAATCGATTATTCTAACAACAAATCTAAAGTTATTCTGATGTGAGTGCACTGGATATTTAAAATGTTTTCATCAAATTAACAAGAACAGTTCTTTAATAT